TATTCATGATCAGTTCATAGACTTCTCAGGTTCAGAAACAGAGAATGGAAACTCGGGTTCGCCACTTGAAAAAAAATAATCAGGTATTTCTACGGTGCTATATCCTAAGACTTTGTTAAAACAATTTACATGGCCGCCGATACATAATTTTTCTGTCTCAGACAAAACTACAGCACCTTTTTCAACCTTATGTTACACTAGCAATAGCTTTCCGTTGTACTGCAGCATCCACAGCAATTTGGAAACAAAAATGGCTTGCAAAGCAACCCTAGACATCATATAAATGCAAATTGAAAACAATGAAGGTTCCAGCAGGAGACGATTGGTGGGTGTGTCTGCCGGTGTTGTTTTGGGGGTGGCAACGTCAGGGAAATCTAACATGAATAAAATGCAAGAACTATTGTTTGTGTACCATCTAAATTCTGCGCTTTCGGACCAAATATAATTACCTGTGGAGATTTCTGGGCAGCCTCTTTTAGATCCTGAACCGCTCCTTCCCAATCTTCTGAGAGAAGTTTAGCTTCACCTCTCTGCAGCAAGGGTAATGAAAAATGACGCTAAATATCCCAAGAAACAGATAAGAATGTCATGCTTGCAAAAACTTGTGCAGCACAAAATTCAACTTTCGTGCTGTCATGTAACCTCCTGATATAGCATTTAGTGAAAAAGATAAATTACATTATCCATGTAATCTAGCTATGGACTCAAAACATATTAATAGTGTATATTAAACTGAAGATCTTAAACATGCTGAACAATTGTAGTATTTCTTAAGCGCCAATAGCTGGTTCATAGCACTGAATCCAATCTTAATGGTTGGTCATAGAGTATGAAAATATGATTAATCTGGGAAGAGTACTCTATCCCTTACGTGTACAGTTGATACAAATATATAAACACTAGCTGTCCTAAGCCGGTTCATAGAAACAAGCTTGAGGTCTTAGATGGATTCCAGCATAGTCTTATACACCACATAACAATGTCAGTTAACACTTGGGGTACCTAAATAGAATGAAATCCAATTTTTTTTTTTAGAAACTAGTGTCAAAGATGTAAGATCAGGTCTTAGAAATGTTGAGTTTCCATTCTGAATTTTACATTGATGATCTGCGTGATTCCAGGCAGGCAAATTACCTGTGTAAGTGCATCAACAAGTTCACTGTCTATGCTCAGTGCTTCTGTACAGCTGCTGATTGCCTCCTTACTTCTCCCAAGTCTGACCAGAGTTTTACACAACCCAAGATAAAGATGTACATTATAAGCAGTATGGTCTGGATCCATTGCTAGAGCTGTCTTGTAGTCCTCAACAGACACACGTAGCTTACCCTTGGCAGCATTATCTTCCGCCTGCATCCACACCGTATGATTTAACTACTACGACACTGTACACTCCAAATTGATTGATAAGAAGAATGGCACTCACACTCTTAGTCTTCTTCAAAAGATTTTTTAACCCGAAATATGCTTTCTTCAATTCTGAATGCTCTGGATCAAGACGGAGCCCTTTCTGGTAGTGCCTAAACAAAAAAGGATTATTTGAATATAGTCTAGGGAGCATTTGGGTGTGTATAAGCACATGCGTATGCTTTTCCAAATTACCTGGAGGCCACATCATGATCAGCAAGGTAATAGTAGGCGCGACCACGTAATAGCAGTGCATCCAAGTTGTCTTCATCTTCCTTTAGAATGAATCCGGTCTCTGAAATAACGCTTGAGTAGTCTTTCAGTGCTAGCAATGCTTTAGCCTTGAGAAGCTTTGCCTGCAAATTGAATCTTTAGTACCACAACCCAAGGAGAAATGACTAGATGGACTTTTCCTGTCCGTAATCACACCTTTAAGCAACCTGGAGAAAAGACGAGCACAATTTTGTTGATGTATTCCACGACTTTTGAAAAGTCACCAGAATCGAACTGGCCATAAGCAGATTGTAATGAATTTTGAGCCTGAAGAAGCTGGGATAATTCCTTTTCCACTGAAGCAGACCCAGGATTCAGCTCCAGGTGTTTGTTATAGTCTCTCTCAGCTTCCTTGTATCTGGACTTAAAAAAAAAAGGCATACAGTTGCACATAAGACATGCAAGGAATAAGGTGCATGTGTAAAATGACAAGGGTTTTGGTAGACATGCTCTCTTTCCCCTTCTTTTTTATAACTAAACATGCCCTTACATAGCAATAGAACATACAGCGTGCATCACATGTTCTAATGTCTTAGAATCGGACTCCGTACTAAGGCTGAACGTGAGCTATTCTAACTCGTATGAGCACGGGTCGTGAGTTCAGGTCACAGATGGGATAGTAAACCAATCAGGACTATGATCTCTAATTCATTGCGTAACACTCCTCTTAGTAAAACCGGCTAGGACTCTTATACTCCAGGGGAGTGGAGGCATAGACAAAGCGGGAGCGAGTGTGATGGGCCAAAATCTGGAGGAAGAAATTTTTCTACTTTTAGTATTATAAATAATATAGGTACATATATGGGACTCATCTTCCAGATATGGAGGCAATGATGTTCCGCTAGGATTAGAATCTGCCTTCAATTTAAACAGAGTAAACTTCATTTTTTTCGTGCTTATGAGGCCAAACCAAAATGAAAATCAGCTACTTGCAGTTTGAAGACAAAAGAAGTTGAAAGTGTTACCCGTTACTACTCTATCCATTAGCATTGGAGTCAAGCAAGAGCGTGGCAAAAAAACCAAAGAATGGAGTGCAAACCAGCAGGAGAGAATAATTTACCTGCATTTATGGCGAAGCACGGATGCACGCTGCCTGTAAGCTTCAGAATGATTTGGGTCAACCTCCAACACAGCATTTAGCAGGCCAAGCGCCCCATCATACTTCCTCAGGTTCATCATCTCTGAGGCTTGCGCGAACAAAGTAGCAGGGTCTTTTTCTTGTCCTTCTGAAATTCCAGAAAAAAAAAAAAGAAATGATATTTCATTCAAATTGTGCTGTGCCTAACGAGAGACAGGGCAGTCGGGCAGAAAATGGCTGGCCTAACAGTAGCCAAAGAAAAGGCGTGAGTGGTCCAGTTCGGGAGGCGGCATGCCATTGCCATGCATATTGATCTGATGAGATGCTGCTACTGATAAGTATAATTATGCGGGTGACAGAACAAGATGCAACTCAAGATTTAGTGAGAGGCATAAGCATGTGCTGGGTCTCGCTGACTCCGAGATCCAACCAACCAATGGAATGGAATCAGTATAAGAGGGGAAGGATTCGATGGTTGAAGATCCAATCGAATTCTTTTACGCAATCCAATCGACGAGCACCTAGCTGCTAGAGTGATGGCGTGTACAGGGAAGGGAGGTGCACCTTGGGCGACGACCAGCGGGGAGAAGTGCAGGCGGAGGAGGCCGAGGATGAGGAGCGGAGGCAGCGCCGTCCGCCCCCACGCCCGCACCATGATCTCTGTCTCCAGCTCTGGCGCAGTGGCGCTCCCTCCCTCCTCTACTCGCCGTGGAGGCCTCTCCCTCTCCGTCTCCGTCTCCGGCTGGTTTCCGTTCCGTTCTTTGCCTAGATGCTGAGTTGCGCTGACGGACAAACAGAGCGTTGCTGCGTTGGGACGGAACACGTAGCCCGGCCAATACGGCGGCGACGCGTGGAGTCCCTTTGCTACGGATGGGCTGGGCCAGTGGCTGAAATCCTCCTCCAACTTAGGAAGGAGTGGTAGGGATCGGAGATGGGCCACCTCGTGGCTCTTACTCCAGCCCAGCCCAATCCCATGACCCTGTCCCTCCTCCTCCTCCTCCCGTCCTCTCTCTGCAACTGAAACCTCGCCGCTTCCGCGCCGCCGTGCGCCATTAGCAGTTTAGTACGGAGGAGGAAAGGAAAGGAACTACTGATTGGAGTGCGATGGATGGTACGTGTCCGAAGCCCCTTGTTCCAGCCTCTCTCCCCTTATCCCTTCCGTTTTGGATGGATGCAAAAATCAAATCTAGGGGATCGCTTTCTGTCTATTCTGATTCCGATCTCAGTTTAGTTCGGGCTTAAAGAGCACGCACGCACGCACACGTCGTCGGTCGTCGCCTTCCATCTCAATCTCAAGATAGAATAAAAATGATCCAGAGGTTATGTTATGTCCCCTACAGCTAGTCTGCTAGTGCATGCATTTGTGCGGCCCCCGGAGGGGCAGGGGCAGGGGCAGAGGAGGAGGAGACTAGCATCAGTACCACCATCGTGTATGTATTCACGCACACAGACACAGTAGAAAATAAAAGGGATTCCTGTGCATTGCGACCCTTTTTATTCGTCTCACATCATCCTCCGAGTATCCTATCTACAGCCAGCCGTTATAACATCAACATCCGGAACCAGAGAAAACTCTTCCTAGAAACAAAGTTGATACACATCCAAAGAAACCTTAAACATATGTACTATCATCACTAGCTACCCTAATATAGCTGCTCTCTATGGCCATTCCACCACCTTGACCTGCACCAAAATCACAAGCAGAGCTTCTCAGATGTAGGAGTAATAATAAGACAAAAAAAAAACACTTCCTACAGGACTGAAAGGAAATTGGTGTTGTCTGTAGCAACATTTGGTTGGTGAACATCATATGTGCCATTTGTTGTTATCCTGAGAACCTGCGCACCCAAACATTTGTTTCCTTCTTAGCCCTCTACTAGTTCATTCATTGGTCTTCATTTATATTTGGCTCCTAATAGTATAAGCAAATGTTAACCAAGTGAAGGTGTTACTGACATGTTCATCACCAAAAATACTTTGTTAATTTGCAGTACTAAGACCAACATATATATTTGGTAGAAAAAAGGTAGTCAAATTAAGTTGCAGCCTAGAAACATTATACCCTTATTATGACACGTACACAAGAGGCAGAGGGAGCAACTTGTTCCTTCCCTGATTTGTTTTAATGTCAACTAATCAACTTTAGATTTTCAATGCTGAAACAAACATATATAGGAGTACTACAGTACTGTGGGAATAAGAATAATCCAGATATACTATACTGCGTGCATGCGTAAGCATATTATTACCAGAAGTAATCCCATCGTGGATTGATCTTGGACATGCGGTTTACCCCATATGGGTACCCAGCAGACTCGGCACGGCGAGCATTGCGGAAAGCACAGCACCCACACGAGTAGATGGCTATGAGTACAACAAGGATGATAACGTTGAGGATGGTGATATTGTGCCAGACTCGGCGCACCTGCTCCAGCACTCCGGCTTTGCATGAATCGCACTGGTAACACAGAATGCTGGGGGCATTGTTCCACCGATAGCAGTCCTCGTCTTGCGGCGCAATTGGTATGCCTTGGTTGTATGTGCATGATGTCGGTGGCTTGCAGCATCCAGACTGCGTGCACAAGAGTAGTTGAGAGTGCGCAAAAAAAAAAAAGAGTAGTTGAGAGTTAATCAATATTAGCATGGTTTGTTAGTACTGTACATTGGGTTGGGTTGGATTGGATTGGAATAACAACAGTTTGCCTAACTGAAAGTTTGCTATCTCAACACTGCGAGAAATTAAGAAGAGTATATATATAGCAACAGTTTGCCTAACTGAAAGTTTGCTAAAATCTCAACACTGCAGGAAATTAAGAAGAGTAGCAGAGCAGAAGATACTACCAAACCTGTATTGGCGTGAGATTATGCTGGAGGTAATCGAGGGGAGTCCAAGTGGCGATCCTGGGGCAGGCTCTGGACCCGACAACGCATGCGAGCGCTGGCCGCCAGTAGCGATCAACCTCGACATGCCTCTGGAGCCAGGCTGAGTAATCTGTGATCCGGAACTCCTGGTACGCCCTGCCAGATACTTGCCTGCCACCGCCCCCGGCTGTGACTGCCAAACCAAAGACTGTGATCCCGAGCAGGGCGACGACGAGCAGCAGCATGGCGAGGAGGTACAGCCACAGCGCCCATGTCACATGGTAGCATGCGCCGATGAAGCCGGCTAGGGAGATGAGGAGAACAATGAATCCGATGGCTAGCAGCGGTGTCTGCAGTGCGGATTCGCATGTGGCGGCAGAGCCGTGCGCCAGCCACAGCCCTGCGCCAATGATGGGGATGGATGCTACGAGCGTCACCAGGTTGAGGTAGCCGATGATTGTGTTGCTCAGACGGTGTGGGTAGTATGGGTGCTGCGAATGCATCTTGCTCGATCGATCTCGGTGCCGAATGCAAATGCAACCTTCAAGGCGCTGGCGGGCTTGCTTATACTAGGAGCGAGTATCATGCTAGAGCTAGCTTTTTCTTTCCTGCTGGCTTCAAGCTTTATTTCCTTTGACTTCCTTCTCTTTGCATTGTGGTGCTTTTCTTTGTGGTTTGCGTGAACCCCGGGCCTCTGCCTCTGCTGTCTGTGTGAGCTGTGAATCTAGGTGCTCGATCGGCAGCTTTTTCCCTCTCTTTTCTAATCATCATCCCAACTCACACTTTAACTTGTGTGTATATGTATATGTATATATAATATATATACATGTACATGCATGGCATGCATCATGAACTACAATATAATAATGTTTTTTCCATGTTTTCTGCCTTGGATGCTTTTAACTTTGCATGCCCTTATATGCCTTTACTCTTTAATATGAAATTGATGGACTGAAAAAAAATGTAAGAAACATCAGCATGCAGCGCCCGTGATGGTTTCCTTTTATTTCTTATTTATGATTTTCTCTTTTGAATGGTGAATTGAACTGTTTAACAGACATCATATATCTGCTCCGAAGAGAAAATTAAACAGGAACATACATGAGTTGTGAAATTACTTCAAACAGAAAGGAAGCCCTACCTGCATTTAGGGGATTGATTTCTTAATCACTAAGGCAGCCGGGATCAGGATCTGGAGTTAAGAACGAAGTAATGGCCCCCTGCACCGGCAGGCTTCTTTTCGTATTGCTTGATTGATGGGAGTGCATGCCAAAGTAGATTGGTCCAAGTTTTCTTTTGGAATGCATGGAGAAGCTTTTCCAGCTGGACAAATAAAGCAACCTTCACTGTGTTGAGGTATGCTATAGTACTGCTATATATTGTACATGTGCACGCAGTATGTAGGTAACCATGAACAAGATTATTGTACTCTAGCCAGTACTAGGCATGCATGGCAATATGGCATGTTGATTAATCAACACAAACACAACGTTTGACGATAAAGGACTTGTTGCGTACCATAGTAGAGATTACGTACGTACCTACGTACTCTTCCATTCTAAATTACAATACGTTTGACTTTTTGACCTTAAATTTAACCACTCGTCTTATTTAAAAAATTTAGATAAATATAGTCAAATTTAAGTCATTCTTGAAAAACTTTTATTAATAAACCAAACTATGGCAAAAAAAAGTGATATTTTGCACAAAATTTTGAATAAAACGAGTGGTCAAATTTAATGTAAAAAAAAATCAAACGTCTTATAATTTAAGATGGATTGAGTACTAAACGGAGAGAAAATTTGATTGACGTAGTGAGTGAGTGATCCATGCCATTGCCAATCCGTGCTGCCTGCCTAGTGCCTACTGCCTAGGCTAGTATGTAGTAAATAGCGAGCTACGTGTTCTATCCAGTACTATTATGTCTATATCCATCTAGCTAGGCGTAGTATTGCTGCTTGCCGCCGCCGCCGCTTCTGCGAGGTATGCCAGCGTCATGGCCGCGTCGCTCATGAGCGGGCGAGCGGATGCCTCTTCCTGCAGGCACATGGCGGCCACGGCCACGGCCTGCTTCAGGTCCCTCTCCGGGAAGTCCCCCCGCAGGAGCGGGTCGGCCAGCTCGCGGTACCTCTTGCTGTCCCGGAGCATGGGCATGGCCCAGGCCACCAGCAGCTGCTCCGCGGCGGGCCTGGTGGAGTCCACGGCGCGCCGCCCGGTGACGAGCTCCAGCAGCAGCACGCCGAAGCTGTACACGTCGGTCTTGACGGTGAGGGTGCCGGCGCGCACGTACTCGGGGGCGCAGTAGCCGTAGGTGCCCATCACGCGCGGGGAGCGGTCGCCGACGGGGCCCAGCTTGGCGAGCCCGAAGTCGGAGAGCTTGGGGCAGAGGGCGTCGTCGAGGAGGACGTTGGAGGACTTGAGGTCGCGGTAGATCACGGGCGGGTTGGCCGTCTCGTGCAGGTACTCCAGCCCCGGGCGGCGCCCAGCGCGACGCGCATGCGCGTCTCCCAGCTCAGCGCGCGCTGCTCCGCCTTCCGCTCGGGGAGCGTTGCCGTTGCCGTTGTCCCTGCTGTCCAGCAGCAGGTGGTCCGCCAGCGACCCCAGCGCCATGTACTCGTACACCAGCAGCCGCTGCTCGCCGTCGGCGCAGTAGCCCACCAGGGTTCACCAGGTTGGGGTGGTGCAGGAGGCTCAGCATCAGCACCTCCACCACGAACTCGCGGTTGCCCTGCGCGCGCTCGCGGTCCAGCTGCTTCACCGCCACCACCTGCCCGCTCTCCAGCCGGCCCCGGTACACGCGCCCGAAACCGCCCTCCCCCAGCAGGCACTCCGCCCGGAAGTTGTCCGTCGCCGCCGCGAGCTCGCCGTAAGTGAACGCGCGCGCTCTGCTGTCGACGTTGCTGCTCGACGCCGCCGCCGCCGCTGGGTTATTACCGGCCGCTTGGTTACGCTTGTTGGACGACGAACACGACGGCAATTGCAGGCTACGGCCGCGCCTCCTCGACGTCGACGGCAGTGGCGCCTCCTCGTCAGCCTCTTCCTCACCCGCTGGCTTGAAGCATGCAAAGCAGCCCACCATGATCCTCCTCCGCTCCGACTCCGATCCACGACGCATGCAGCAAATTAATTAATCAAAGACGCAAGATCAGAGAGGACAGGAGCAACGACCGGCGTATGGCGATTTGCATTGACCGGCGCACACGCATGCATGCATGTGTTTTGGTGACGACAACAGATTAATTGACGGACCAAATTAAGCAGCTTACCATGATCTCTTGTTTATTGGCATAGCAGTGCGAAACCAAAATTAGTAACACCCCTATATACCAGTGGTCAATATAGAGTACGTCCATGCATCCCCCCGTATGCTTTTGCGTGCCTCCGCCCCCAAACTAAATCAACTTTTAGAGCAGTCTCGAGTTAAACTATTTTAAATTAGCTAAGTTTTATATAAAAAAATATATTTTTAACATCAAATTAGTATCATTAGATACATCACGAAATATATTTTTATAATATACTTATGTACTATTTGGTATCATAAATGTTATTATCTTTTTCTAGAAAGTTAATCAATTTAAGATAGTTTGACTTAAGGTAATTTTAGGAATTAATTTATTTTGGAATGGAGTATACTTCTTTGTGCCTAGCGTATTTCACAAGGTTAATGACATGATTCCCGCCTTATGTTTTAGCTTTTTCTTAAATCAAATTGTTGGTGCAGAAAGTGACCAACACATAAATATTTATAGTTTTGTTGTACATTATGATCGGAGGTGGCCTAGCACTCAATGACACAGGATTTATACTGGTTCAGGCAACGTGCCTTACGTCCAGTTTGAGTCGGTCGGTGACTTTATTCCTGAGCCCAAGTACTCGAAGTTTGCTGTGGGGTTACAAACGGAAGGGAGAAAGATAGGGGTACAAGAGGTCCGGTCGGACTCTGGTCTGAAGGGCCAAGAGTGACGGGAGCTCCGCTATGTGCTAAGTGTTTGAGCGTGTGCTGTGTATAACTATAGAGTGGCTAAAGTTACAGAGGGTGAATCGATGTAAGTGAACTGATCGATCTATCTATTTGGGAGATAGCGCATCCCCTTTTATAGATGAAGGGGATGGTCTTACACGTGAGAGAGGGAGAGTATACGTATGTCAAGTCTTGTTGCCCACTCCGTCGGGTACAGGATGATTGTAAGCGCCCATAACACTGTTAATGTCAGATGCATGTGGGAGGTCGTGTCGTCTTCTTCAGGTATGGCAGACGTCGGTGCCTGCCATACTGTTGATACCCAGAGGCATGCAAGGGGTTTTACCATATTCGCCTGGTACGGTAAATGCCGACGCCCACAACACTGTTGATGCCTCAGAGGCACGTGGGAGAGCCTTACCGTGTTTGTCTGGTATGAAAGTTGATGGCGCCCACAACACTGTAAGGGAAATGTCGTCGCCTACAACACTGCTTGGGTTCTGTCATGCCAGAAAGGTCGCAGGGTACTGTTCGGCAGGTGTACATGGTACGGTCCTTGGTATTGCGGTTGACTTGAGTGCCCTGCTTTATTTTCTCCGTCCGTTTCCTGGTCCTTACCGAGCGGGTGTCCCCGGTCAGTTGGTCCCAATCGGCTCTGATTGCGCCAGTCGAAGAGGAGCTGTAAGTAGGGGATCGGCGCATTTCCGGTCGGAGAAGCGGGTCGGAGTCGGAAGTGGTGTTTCGGCCAGGCCTTCCGGTCGGAGAGGCGGGCCAGAGTCAGAAGCGGGCGCTGTTCTTTCTCGGCCAGCCCTTCTGGTCGGAGATTGGATTGTCCTTCTGGCCTGTCGTTTAGGTATTTTGGGCCGGCCCAAGAGTCACGCGTCGTTCGTAACGTTGTCTATTGAGCCGAGCCTTTTCTGGGAAGCCGGTCCATGAGGGACCCCAGGTTTATGAACCCGATAGGAGCCCCCGAGCCCCCAAGCGATTCGGGTAGAATCGTCTGGTGGATTTTTGTCTTGACGGCGGATGCGCACGAGCGCACCCGCGGGTGTAGCCCCCAAGCCCCTAGGCGATTCGGGTAGAATCGTCTGGGGGGGTTTTCGTATTGCCAACGGGGGAAGTTTTGTTTTGTCAGCGGGTGCACGCGAGCGCACTCGCGGGTGTAGCCCCCAAGCCCCTGGGCGATTCGGGCAGGATCGTTTGGGGGGTTTTTTGTCAGTGGGCGTGTGTGCGTGCATTTTAGTCGAGATAGAGTCGTCAACCAAGGTGTCGTGCGCAGCCGAGGCGGGTTTTTAGGGATCAGGCGAGACAGAGCTCGCGGATCCTGGCGTCGGGCGTAGCCGAGGGATCAGTCGAGGCGGACTCGCGGACCCGTCGTGTGCAGCTGAGGCAGTTGTTCTAGGGATCAGGTGAGACGGAGCTCGCGGATCCTAGCGTCGGGCGCAGCCGAGGGATTGAAACGGACTCGTGGATCCAGGCGTCGGGCGCGCCGAGACGGACTCACGGATCCAGGCGTCGGGCGCGCTGAGGGATTTGGGCGAGGCAGAGTCGTGGACCCAGGCGCAGCCGAGGCGTTTTTGGGTGTCTTGAGCCCCTAAGCGCCGTTTGGGCTTGGTAGGGGTCTGTTTGAGTTTTGTGTGTTACCCCATCCTCGGTTTCTACAACCAGAGGGGCTGAGCTAACGTCGCTTGCCTCGATGGCTCGGGCTCGAGTGACGCGCTCGGTGAGCTCGCTAACGGGTATGATCGAGTGAAATCTAGGTTCATTGCTCGTGACGGGGTCGGCATAGCCCTCATGTGACATTCGATTACTCCTTAACCTGCAACCCGGCAGATGCCTGGGTCGTTCCGGAGACCAACCCAGGTGGCCCACTGGCCTCCCCTCGATGGAGATTCTATGGGTTGGGCAGAGGTTTAGGAGCAAACGAGAAGGTTGAGATGACCCTGTCTGCTTCGGGGCAGACTGGGCGAGGGCCGCTCAGGGCTCATCTACGTTTTCTCCCCTGTCTCTGTTTGACGCGAGGCGGCCTCGAGCCCTTTGTGGGCCGACCTTCGAACCCTAGTCGATCGTTGCTCATGTTGAATGAGGCAACTGTCGCTTCGTGATGCAACACGAAGCGTTGTAATGCGTTTTAACCGCATATGTGATGCCTTAGCCCCCGAGCCCCCAGGCGATTCAGGTAGAATCGTCTAGGGGGCGCGGGTGTATGGAATGAATGAATGCGTGTATGGATGTATGAATGATTATATAAAGAAATAGTGGGGGTTGGTAATGTTACCTTGATGACTCGAGTGACGGAGTTTGAAGAGCTCTAATCGGAAATGTCCAACCGGGATCTGTGCTCGTCATTCATGACGGAGTCAGCATGGCCCACATGGGGCGTCCCTTTGCTCCTTACTTGTCTCTCGGTGTTTTCTTGAGCCGTCCGATTAGACTCAAGAAGCCCGTTGGTCTCTCCTGGCAGAGATCCCATTGTTTGGGTTTTTCCAAGACCCACCTGGGAAGGCGGAGAGCCACCTACACGTGGTGGCGCTTTGGTTCTCGCGCCCGGCATATGGTAGTGGTGGGCCATACCCAGGCCACGCCTCGTCTGACCAGGCGCCATTCCATCGGGCAGGGTGCGTCCCATCGGTCAGGGTGTGTCCCATTGTATCCCATCCGCATTGAATGGGGGAAGGGAGAGGGTTTTTTGCCCCCATTGTTTCACCTTTCCCCGATCGCCGTGCCCTTCCCAACTGCTGTGCCCTTTTCTTTAAGTAGGAGAAGGGAGAGGGCTTTCGCCCCGTTCCTTCGCCTATTCCTTATCTGCCGTCTCTTCTCTTTCTTCCTTCTCGCCAATAGCGTCTGAGCGCCGCGGCGGTTCCTAGGAGAAAAAAAGGGAGAGCGAGGGAGAGGAGAAAACTTATAGATCCATTCGTGAACCCAGAGCGAAATGTCGGGCTAGAGGTCATCCGTCGTGAGGGAGTCGATGCTGGAGGCCTTCGCCGAGAAGGGGTTTCTACTGCGCACTGGAGGGCTCCTAGGAGGGAGGATTTCCCGTAGCCTTGGGCCGGTGAGGTTGTTTCCTTCCTCGCCTTTCATGAGCGCGGGTTAGGATACCCCGTGCACTGGTTCCTACGCGGGCTCCTCAATGAGTGGGGCCTGGAGAGGCAGCACCTCAATCCGACTGGGGTGCTGCATATCACCGGCTTCGTCACCGTGTGCGAGGCCTTCCTTGGGATGGAGCCGCATGCGGACCTCTTCCGGCGGATGTTTTCTGGGCGAGCTTTGTCAGAGGGGAAGCCGCTCATGATCGCGTCGGTGGGGGGCTTCGCGCTGCAGAAGAAATCGAGCGCGGTGGGCTCATACCCTGTGTACATCCCCTACGATTCCAATTGGGGGTGGCACGGGGAATGGTTCTATATCAGGAACCTGGCGGAGGTGCCGTTCACGCCTTTTATCGGTAGGAGGCCGAAGAAGCTGGAGAGCTGGTCATAGGGCCCCGCCAGCCGGCAGAAGAAGAAGGTGGAGATCATCGAGGCGGAGCTCTAGAAGCTCGTGCGGCATGGTCTTGACAGGATGCGGGTGTTCTGCACCCTCTTCTGCTGTCGGGTCGCTCCGCTGGCAGAGAGGACACGGCCGATGTGGAAGTACAACGGTCTGACGA